CCCCCCCCCACATGGTGCTCTATAATGTATTGCTGGGATTTGTATTCCTCTATAGCTGATGGTACATTGAGCTCTATATTATACATAGGAACACAAATCCCAGCAATACATTTTACACTGTATGTATAATGTATTGCTGGGATTTGTTGTACTCCTCTATAGCTGGTGATATTCTGCATTGCGCTGTATACAAATCAAGGAATAATACATTAGATAACGCAATGCAGAATACCACCAGCTATAGAGGACTACAACACCTAGCAAAACTACATTATACAACATTATACAACGCAATGCCGAATACCACTCGCTATAGGAGGACTACAACACCCAGCAAAACTACATTATACAACGCAATGCCGAATACCACTCACTAGAGAGGACTACAACACCCAGCAAAACTACATTATACAACACAATGCCGAATACCACCAGCTATAGAGGACTACAAATCCCAGCAAAATTACATTATACAACGCAATGCCGAATACCACCAGCTATAGAGGAATACAACAAATCCCAGCAATAATACATTATACAGTGGTGCAATGCAGAATACCACCAGCTATAGAGGACTACAACACCTAGCAATAGTACATTATACAGTGCAATGCAGAATACTACCAGCTATAGAGGACTACAAAACCCAGCAATAGTACATTATACAGTGCAATGCAGAAAACCGCCAGCTATAATGTACTATTGCTGGGATTGTTGTATCCCTCTATAGCTGGCGGTATTCTGCATTGTACTGTATAATGTACTATTGCTGGATTTTGTAGTCCTCTATAGCCGGTGCCATTCTGCATTCATTGCTATATAATTTTACACTTTTCATTTCACTATATTGCACACCACACTTTTTTTCTTTTCTTTTTTTTTTACTTCCACGGCTCCAAGCTTGCTACTGTGATGGACTGCAATCTCAATACAAACTAGTAGTCCCATCACTGGAGCCATTTTTTAAAATGTATTTTATTTTTAATTTTTTTATCCGATTAACCGATTAGTCAAACTTAATAATCGACTAACTAATCGATTTTGAAAATAATCGTTAGCTGCAGCTCTAGTGAGAACGCATGTAATATATGGCAAAGTGAAGTTCAATTGTCCTCATAAGAAAATGAAATGAAGAAGGAGTTTCATCATACATTTAAAATTTCCCTTGGAAAAAAAAAATCATCACTATCTTACAATAGTTGAATGTCTTTCTTATTGTTATTATTTTTAGCACTAACAACAATTAAATGCAACATTTTAACAAATACACAGACAGGACATGTTGCTCAGAGGCAACGGTGTGCCCTAACCCACAGAAACCAGAGACCAGGACTTGTGTAGGAGATGCTCTGAATGAGCCACAGGCAAGGAGTGGGATATACACATTCAATTGTAATTCTAGCTAGAACTTTAAATGAAGTTTTGAATAAAACAATTTTATCACCAGGATAGGAAGTGGAGAAATATATTCAACAGACTCTCAGACATCACTGGACAAAGGTTCTAACCCTCTCTATAAAAAAAAAAAAAAGTTTTGGCTTGATATACACGTTAATGTACAAAAGTCCTTTCCATTTATGGTTTTGAAAATGAATACCGACCTGTTGATCAGTAAAATACATGCATGGAATAGGTTGACAAGGAGACATTTCATGGGCAAACTTATAATATACTATCAGTTCAAACCTTGGTAATGTGGACAGCTAAATCAGAAAATGAGGATGTGTCTAGTTCATTTAAATTGTCGGAACTATCTAATTAAGGGTTGTATGGATGTACTAGTCTACTAGTTATAGTACTGAAGGAGAAAGAGCTCTCTTACAGAACCCTTTTGCAACAAAAAAATAGTAATCTGTTGAAGAATATATAAGGGGTTAAAAGGATTGAAAGTAATAACCACAACATGGCCAAACATCAGATCTGTTATTGTTTAAGTGATTGACAACTATTCTTGTAAATCAGATTATGCCCAGTGGTGTGTGGCGCTGACACCTATTTTTATATTATATCACTGCTGTATATTAAACTGTTTTTCTAGCAGCACCTTACTTTCATTGACAACCATGTTAATACAGTTTATACTTTTTTTTTCCTATGTTGCCTTCTGTCCTTTGTTTACCAATAATTTCACCAATTTTCTCAATAACAAAACAAATGAGAATATGCACTGGGGTTGATTTACTAAGAAGAAATAGAGCGTGTTTACATTGCAAACTGAATATCTGCCATGTTTTGTAAATGAAATGCAGTTTCATGAAAATTCACTTTGCAAAGAATATCCAATATGCAAACAAAAAAAATTATAATAATAAATAAAACAGGATTTTTGTTTGAACAAGAGTGAAGTTAGTGTAGCTTCACATTATTCATTAACAATTTGCAAATAGTTTAATTTTTTTACTTTGAAAAGAGAATTTTCACTTAGCTTAGTAAATCAGGATAAATTGAGCTGACTTCAATTATTCAATCATGTGTCAGCAAAAATCCTGTTTTGTTATTTACCTTGCACATGATTGGGAAATTTCACTTAGCTTCACCTCAGTCACCAAGCTAGGTGAACATTAATTTTGTTCTACTTTTAGTAAATCAACCCCACCGTCTTCATGAACAGGTCCAACACACTGTATCTGCTGAGGCCAATAAGGAATAGATTATAGGGGACATGCACTGAGAGTATACAGGTGAAACTCGAATAATTAGAATATTGTGCAAAGTTAATTTATTTCACTAATGCAACTTAAAAAGGTGAAACTAATATATGAGATAGACCCATTACATGCAAAGCAAGATAGTTCAAGCCGTGATTTGTCATAATTGTGATGATCATGGCTTACAGCTCATGAAAACACCAAGAACCCCAAATCCACAACCTCAAAAAAGTAGATTATTACATGCAATCAATAAAACAAGGATTGTACATAGAACAATATCGGACCTCTGAAAAGTACAAGCATGCATATGTACTCAGTACTTGGTTTGGGCCCCTTTTGCAGCACTTACTGCAATTACTTTTGCACGATATTCTAATTATTCGAGTTTCACCTGTATTTAGGATGTCTGTGAAGGTTCTCATGCATCCAGGTCATGGTATAGCTGTAAAAAAATAAATCAAGGCAACTGGACTTGCTGTATTTTTCTTGAAGACAATTCCATTCTAAATTCAGAAAGCTAGTTGAATGACCAGTGAAACCTCTTTAAGAAAAATACAGCAAGTCCAGTTTCCTTGATTTTTTTTTCTTTCCAAATATACTATATGTAGGATGCCACGGCTGACCTCCACATCTGAATATGCTAATTGAATGTAATAATTTTTGAGTTTCTGACCCAAAATAGGAGGAGGCGTTCTGATTTCAGTTGCTTCTTGCTTGTTCTGGGTCAGTAATTTAGAAAGTACTGAAGCCAAAGATAGCCAGGAAAGTAAGATTGTGAGAAAGAAATCAGAAATTGCATATTTCACTCAGTACAGCTTTCCTTTAAGACTATTGCATGTTTATTACACATGTCATGTACAATGTCATTACAGTGATTTGTTAAAAATGTGCAGGAAATCTAATTTTCTTCCTTTCATTTACAGGATCTTATTGCATTTAAAAGCAATGGTGCTTTACTCATAAACAGCCATTTGCTGTGCCAGCACTATAAAAAGAACTTGTTGAGAACAATGCCAAGATGTTTTCTGCTAACCTGCTTGGCAATACACAGCTAGTGATCTTACTTGAATACAGTTTATAAAGGAGGCTTGTAGTCTTCCCATTGCTCATTTAAAGTGACTCCATCAAGGGGACACATTAATGATGTAGTGGCTGGCATGTGGAACAAAAGCACTCCAGTGACAGACACAGGCATCCAAGGCACATAGAACTGTTGGATGCAAAACATTCATCTAGAAGCTGCAGCTCTGCAAGATCAGAGACGCAGGCTATGGGACAGGTAAGTATTATTACTGTTCTTTTACAGGCAGCTTTTTTTTTTCAACAGTATTACTTTAAGGCTCTCCGTTTACCGTGATTCTCTTCATGTCCAGCTGTCTCAGCTGCAGCATGTACCCCAGAATGGTTTGTCTGTACCATGACTCTTGAGCTATAGGGTTGCCATCAAGTGTGACTTCTGAAAGCGAAGTTGAGTCAGCAAGGCACAGGATGTCACTGATTCTGCAAACATAAAATACAATATAAGTCAGCAGATATTAAAGACAGACTGTTTACAAATTGCATAGTGACATGTCACGGAGCAAATCAATGTTAGGGCCTGTACTCATGCACCAGACAATGCACAATGAGGCTATCTGATGCCACACTTTGCATTACTTGGCACACTGTGTGCAAATGGCCACCAGAATGACAGATGCACCCTGCAATGAATACATTAGCCTCAACACACTGACATTATCTCAGTTACAGAAGAGCAGAACAAGCAGTCTAAAGCAATTCCAGTTCTGTAAAAAAAGTACCGATAGTGTGGACGAGTTGACTGCATTTTTATCTTGCAGAAGAACATGTTCATACACTGTGCAGGAGAATAGTAATCCATACTTTGTAAGACTCTGTGTATTTCTCCCTCTATATTAGGAAACACAGCATGAGCCATCACACACGCACACACACACACGCACGCACGCACACACACACACACACACACACAACTATATTTAGCAGCTAAAATGCAAAGCCTCAGGGTGAAGATGACTAGCGCTTATTCCGGATGAGTATTCTCAAATAGTTAAAGCTGAATTCCCCTGACTTCATTATTTCATTATTATTATTAACCCCTGACTTCATTATTTCCATTCATAGAGCTCAGCTATGCTTGGACACCCAGGAGAGAATTGAAGCAAGTGGCACCGTCACCTCTGCTCATCGTGCAGTGCCACTAAAACAACCACCACTATAATGCAAAAGAATTATAGTTCTCAATGGGTAGGAATGTGGGCAGCTGTGAGAAGAGCTACATCCAGTGAGTCTAGGTGCTCATTTGCATTGTATTCCAATCACTTACAGCAGTGGTTCTCAACCTGTGTAACCTCAGGACCCACATTTGTCCTTGGTCATTAAGTTGTGACCCAAGTGTGGGCGGGAGGTGTGTTTGGGGTGCCATTCAAATGAATGGCAACGCAATGCTCCGACTGCACCAGAATGAATAGTAGGTGCAATTGTGTGGTATTTTGCGATTAAAACACTGACAGACACAATCTCACACACTCACAGACATTCTCACACACACCTCCATCCATTGGTGCATTGCTTGTTCAGGTCCCTTGCACTCCCTGTAGAGGTGTCGGGATCCAGAGTGTTAAGTCACGCCGGTCATGCGAGGGAGCTGTAAGCGATGCATGTATTGATGGAGCTCCCATACGACCATACCCCCAGCCTACCCTACCTCAAGCTGACACTTAATGCCAGCCATATTTTGAATGGCTGCTCGGCACAAGAACTAACAGTGCTGCACTATGCAGGAGGCTGAGGAGCCTCTCACCTGGTGCAGTGGAAGGCATGCGGCGAACCACTGAACATGGGAATAGTGGGGATAGTAGTCACCGATCTTAATAAATGGAAATTGCTGAAAAAAAATTACTTTTGGAGTAATGCCAAAACAATTCTGCTGGGAGTTTAGCTTTCACTTGATCAAAATGTTTAAAATAAATTGCATGTCACCATAAAAGAAAAAACACCATTTTCATTAACAATCAGTCCACCCATAACTGATATTTTAGTTGCAGGAAGAGCCCGATATGTTACATCAGTTCAGAGATAGACATAACACCATAAAGCTTTAGCATAAGGATAATAATTTATTTTCAGCCATGTGGCGAATTTTAAATTTAAAATGTATTTGGACTTACCGTATTTTTCCGTCTATAAGACGCCCCCATGTATAGGACGCCCCCCACTTTTCTTACCCAAAATTCAGAAATCAATATTTTCCATGCTCTTTTGCATAACTGATTACATCTAGTTTAAATTTTGCAGAGTAAGACAGCCGCTTCCTGGTATTGGTATTTACCGGGATTTTTTTTTTTTGTTTTCCGACATTTTATGGGCTCAGAATGCTCCGACATTACCGCTCCCTGTTACATCTGGGCACTGGCTACAGGCTCTCCGCAGCATCAGCTGACGTCGGGTACATAAGGCTCGTGATTGGAGGAAACCTGTTAGCTTGTCTCTGCAATGGGAAGTTTCACTTGTTAGGCTAGTTTGCAGAGGTATCGGTAGTTTCGCAACCGCGGTTCTCCTCTCGGCCCCCCGTGTATAAGACGCCCCTCTATTTTTAGGTAAATATTTTTATGAAAAAGTATAGTCTTATACATGGAAAAATACAGTAGCTAAAAAATACCTGTCACTTAAAAAAATAAACAAAGATCCTTAAGACTCAATCAGTATAATGCAGTAAAACAAAGTAACATTGAGTGGAATTGAGCATATAGACACCAAAGAGGACAATTTCTGGGCCCTCACTGTGTATAGACAGATAGATGGTATAAATGGCTTATGAGGCCCAGAGGTCCACATAAGCTGCACAGTCTACCCAAACAGTAGGCTCTTTTAAGTCAACCCATGGGTTCTTATATATCGTGAAAACCTCAACAGCAAGATCACACGATTCCCACGTGCCTTTGCCTGTTGAAGCTACACTTGTTGCATTCTACATAATACAAGATTAAAAAAAATAATAATCAGGGAGACAGAGACCCCTCATAATGGTAGCAGCAGGTGTGCAGACCGAGGAATAAAAAAAAATCCTACACATGCATTACCCAAGCCAATTTTTGAAGTGACCTATTCATTTTAATCTGCATCCTGTAATGACATTATAAAACTGACGAAACGTTTTAAGTTCCCATCCATGCAACCATGACAAAAGTACCTTTTGAACTAGGCTTCCCAGAATCCTGTTCCCTCCTGTTCATTTAACTTGCTCACTGCTTTTCTCCAAAAGTCTTCACACTAAAGAGTTGAAGGCAAACTTTCACACATACCCAACAATATTCTTAGGTTAATTGCAGTAAACCTTTAATCTATGGTGAAGCAGATGCACGTGACTATGAGATGATTACAGGAACCCTAAACTCCGGCTTTAAATCTTAAAAACCTATTCAAGTACCTCAACTATTTAAAAAAATGTATCTTATTTGTTTATCACTCAGCTGTAGATCCTCCAATCAATTCATGCGGACACTGTCCTTCCTTCTTGAGGGTGACTACTTTCACTCCCCATGGTCCCTGTGTGTGTGTTGTAAAGTAGCCACCGCTCCAAGCTCACTTCCGTGATGGACTACAATCTCAAATTTAGCTTACCAATTTGTATTAAAGTTATAGTTTATCACAGGGGTGAGCCTGGAGCGGTGGCTGCTTTACAACACACACAGGTACCATGGGGAACAAAAGTAGCCACCTTCCAGAAGGAAGGACAGTGTCAGCACCAATTCTGACTGATTGGAGAGTTCTAGCTTTAACTCAGCAGGGAGAGTGTCAGATCTCTGTAGAGAGTCCACTGCTTCCACATAGAGAGAGTAAGGTTGGCCATACACCCATACATTGCTCTACTTTTTTCATTCAGCTGAAGGGAAAAAAAAATAGAGCAGATTTTCCCATAAACACTACCAGCGTGTTGAAGAAGGAATCCCACCAGCTGTTGTCAGAATACCCGAACAGAGGCGGCGACTAATTGGCTGCCGACTCTTGATTGTACGAAGGAAGCTGATCGAGGGATAACAGCAGCAGCACACACACTGCGGATTTCGTCCGGTTTTTGAGGAGCTGGCCAAAATTTGCAGTGTATGGGCACCCTTAGGGTCTTTCTCTGTAGCATTTTGGCCGGTGACAGGCTTTTCTAGTCAGGATGTGGCGGTCTTTAAAAGAAAAAAAAACTGAAAGACTTTGAACACTTTTTGTTTTGATGGAACCTAAATCTATTTAGCTGATTTACACTGAAAGTTCAGTTGGGCTCTAAACTTGCGCTTATTTTGTGCACACAAAGGGCTGCGACTTTTAAAATCCATGGATCCTCACAGCAGCTGAGTGTTTCTGGAGTAGAGCAGGAACTGTGAAAAAGGCCAGTGGAGTTTGAGAACAGGTAGGCTGCACCTGAAATGCAGAGCTATTAATAAAGCCTTACAATGACACTTCCTAAGGTGTGATAACATGGTTTATATTTATACTTAAAGTGACACTAAACTCAGGAGTTAAATCTTAAAAATGCATTAAACTACCCTAACTATTAAAAAAATGTATCTTATCTGTGTTTCACTGTATCACTGTAGATCCCCAAATCATCTCTGAATTTGTGCCGACACTGTCCTTTCTGGAGGGTGGCTACTTTTGTTCCCCATTTTTAAGATTTCATTCCTGAGCTTACTGTCACTTTAAAGTGACCTTCTCACTACGAGGTTTCCCAATGTTGTCCCAAAGAATATACACTGCAATTGTCCTTATGTTTTATTGCACTGCATAGGTGTGTGCTGAAAAAGTAGGACATATTGCATTTTTTGGGTTAGTTTACCCCCCAGAAACTGCATCACAACTGCGTGCGTCTGCGCAGCTGCATTGCGATACGTTTTGACGCGTTTGTGACTTGTTTGTGATGCGTTTTTTCCCCCCTGGATGATGCCACAATCGATTCTGTTTTTGTTTAGTATGCAGCCCGTTGCGTTTTAGTGCGTTTGCACTGCGTTTTGATGCGTTTAGTGCAGTTAGATGCAGGTAAAATAGGACAAGCAGTACTTTTTCTGACTGCAGTTGAACGGACTGCAATGGTGTGAATTAGGCACAAGAAAGCCCATAGGAAAGCATTGGGATGTATTTTAACTGCAGCAGTTGAAATAAACGGACTGCATCACAACTGCATATGGTGTGAACTGGCCCTTTACGCAGCGCAACACACTGCGGTGCAAAGAGTTGAATTAAATATTTGTGACATTTCAGTAAAGTTATAATAAAAAGAAAAACAAGGTAAACAGTGCAATGTGTTGTAAACAATGCATAGCGTTGCCCCTACACAATACACACCAGCAGCTGTCTGTTATACAGTGCATAACGTGCACCCACTGGTGTAATGGGCCCTAATCATTTACGGGTATTTATATAGAGCTTACAATCTACACAGCACTTCATGTACTGCACATGTGAATGTGCAGTACATAAAGTGCTGTGTAGATTGTGTAGAAGGAGCTTACAATCTAAAGTCCCTATCCCGCATGCATACATACACATATTAGAGCCAATTAACCTACAAGCTCACATTTTAAAGTGTGAGAGGAAATCCATGGAAGCACATACAAACTCCATGCAGATAGTATCTGGATCAGCATACGAACCAGAGACTCCCACTGCTGCAAGGCAGAAGTGCTAACCACTAAGCTACTGTGCTGCACATATATACTTACCTTTCTGATTTGCTGCTCCCTGACCACTGCAGGTATTAAACACTTCCAGGTACAAAAATACCTGCTCCTACTACCACACTCTGTTGTTCCTCTCACCGGCTCATATGTCAATACAGCACAAATGAACTGGTGGGAAGAACCACAATCTGTGGCAGGGGGAGCCACATTTAAAAGGCCCACAAATGTGCTTAGCTCTATCTGAATAAAATAATGTGTGAACAGTACAGTGTTAAACATTACATTAATAACAATAGAAAAGAATACAAAGCACGCTTCTCTTCTTCTGTGCACTGATGCTTGTACAGCAGACACTACAGACCAGCAAGTGGTAATTTGGCAGGTGGCTGATGGGAAGGAAAGTGGTTAGCTGCTGCAGGATTATGTCACTGTCATAACCAGTCAGAGAGTCTGCATGCATCATCTGCAAGCACAGGGCAGGGAAGACACTTCTCATAAATGGTATAAAGTATCAAACCCTCCATGAATAATACAAATCACATAATCAAAACCTTTACAATTCATAGTTCCTCTTTATGACAGTGTGTTTGCTTAATGGCTAAGCTATAATTTAATATAACAATTTGTACAGAGCGATCTTACAGCAAGAAATCAGAAATAATCCCTTGTTCTGTTATTCTTAACTTTGTAAAGCCTAAAGCCATTGGCTACAGTTGGTAACTTTGCATCTCATAGGTCCAATTCAAGAAGCTTCACACAAGAATACATATTTTTATTATCAGCCATGTGACTGATTTTTTAAATCACATTGGGCTCAGCTTAAAATTACTGTCACTTTTTCAAAATAAAGATTCTTATCCTGGTGTTTTAGTTTTGTGAATTGAGCCCATAATCTACATTAATAAAGAGAACACGTTGCAATGCTCAGCATTTACAAGTATGCCCTTTGACTAATGTGCAGCATAGTGTGCCCACTGCAGCCAAGTCAGCTTAAGAGTCCTGCAGCAAAAAATAAAAAATAAAGAAAAAGGGATTTTCAGGGCCTACAGGAACGTTACAGAATGCAGTTTTACATGAAACATACTGCAGATGACTGGTTGACATCATACATTCCTTAGAACACAAAGACAATCATGTGACCATCTAACACTTATCACAGTGAATCAAGAATATCCCATACGAGAAACTATGGCAGGAGTTTCTTTGCGTCAATGTTATCTAATCTGAGCTGCAGTTGGTCTGTAGATACGAGGGTGTGGCAGCTACTTCATATGCTAAAGTAGATGTACCATTCACATTTTAGTGAAGGTATCTTCTACATCAATGCAAGGTCTATATGTCCCTGTTATTACAAAAGCATTACAGCACTGTCACAATGTTTAAGAACACACAGCTTGCAGCGTTAAAATGAATACACAATGCAGCGTGCCGTGAAAATTTAAATCTAGAGCATCCTTACCTTGATATATTGTTAAAGCTGAGATAAAGGAGCTGGAGGCTAGGCAAAGTATCCACATCTCTCTAGAAGGAAGCAGAGATTCAACACATCAGTGAGATTATGTGACGTAGCACAGTAACATCTGCTCAGCTGATACAGCGCACTCTGCTAAATGATGTGGTCCTGATGCAGCATTGATTATTGTTGAGCGTATGGGGATAACTGGGAGTGTTATTGTGCAGGAAGCCGTTCTGCAGAAGCAGCTGCACATACAAGGTGATCAGCAGTGGGAGGGGTGGGGGAAGGAGAGATGGAGGGAGAGAAGTCCTTGCTTTCAGTAGCCAACATGCACAATCAGCATTTTAACAGCATCGTGGCAAGGATGCTGATCATCTGCAGAGCAGAAGCAAGTCTGTGCTATGAGATAGCTAGCAAAACACAGCCTAGGCGAATTTCAAATGGGAGATGGTGGATAATACAATCTTGATAAATAAATACAGTTACTCACCATTTCTAAATTTAGTTTGAACATTTGCAATATGCTAAACTGTTCAATATTTCATGCAATGCGTCACTGTCGTGTGAATAATTTAATGCACAGACTCACCACTCACTTTTTGTAAGTGACAGTGTAATGCTGGCCATTGGAGAACGTCAGAAATTAAATACAAATTAATAATAATAATATCATCTTTAGCAATGTCCTGACCTGTAAAATTACAGTATAGAAAATGCTACCAATTCACACTTTAAATATTAACAGTTATTACCAAAATAATGACTGCAAAGCTCATAGGAGTTTATTTATAGTTATATATTTAGGAAAGAAGAGATATGCCCAACAAGTTGAATCTTAAATTTGAAAAGTAAAAAGCTAAGTAGTCTCTCTCTCCCATATTCAATGATGTTAATTATATTAAATCTATGTCAAAAACTTGTGAAAAAGGGAAAGCTACACTCCAGAAATAAATCTTCCATACACTGTTTAATCCCGGAGCATAAATATATATAAAAATATAAAATATAAAATAAATGAGCTCTGTGATCAAGCCATAATGGTGGAATGCTTGAGAGCGTGAAGGTGTGTGACGGTGTACAGCTTATTCATGCTCATGGATTAAACAGTGTATGGAAGATTTATTTCTGGAGTGCGGCTTTCCTTTTTCACTTGGATTTAGTGCATGACAGGATGTGGAGTGCCCCTTGAGCTGGCACCCAACAAGCAGATGAGATCCTCGGACTGTGGAGGTGAGCGGTGCATTTGCTTGGTGTGATTATAGCCAAAACTTGCTTTAGTTCTGGATAGAGTAAGGAAGAGCTAAACTCCTGTCTGTTTTTTTAACCTGGAGTGAATAGACATTTTTTTCTACATTAGGGGAATTCCCTTCTTAGACAACTGTCACTGGGACAGGTGTCTCCAGCGGGAAATTTCCTTTTACTTACTGTTCTAGGCAAATTATAACATTTTGGATTTTTCATCACTTTCTGCCCCATGACAATAGTAACCAGGACAAATATAGAAGTTGAATCTCAACAGCGGCGACTTAGACAGCAAAAAAACATAACAGAGGTTTTAGCCATCCCATCTTTAATTAGAAAAAAGAAGAGTTTTCACCCAAAACTTTCCTAGTGTTCGTGAGTGGGTTTGTGTGGCCGTGTTAGATTATAAACTCATTTGAGGCAGCAAGTAATGTGAATGGCTCAATGCTTTTAAAGATAAATTATATGTGTATACCTTACAAATGGGTTAGATCTCAGAACAAACATAGTTTTATTCTTTTCTTTGAACACATACGATAAAATATGTGCTATACCTCCAGGCATATACTACTGCATGATTGATTTATTTTGCCGTTTGTGCTGAAAACTTTCAAAAATGTGTGGAATTAGAGGAACAAGCAGCCTGAAGGTGCTTAATCAGATGAATGAGTAAAAAAATTTGAACTTCCTGCCAAATAACATGCAATGTTACACTTTTAAAGACAGATCTGTGCTTGATGTTTACAAATCAATATAATTCTGAATAAAGAACTGATCTCATTCCACAAACATAGTACAGTATGTTACAAAGCATCTTAGAAGGAAAGCCCAAGTGCAAGCAGGACACTCCCATTGACCTCAATTAAGACTACTGTGCATCCTAAATGCCATGCATATATACAACTGGTTTATTCATACACAAGTACTAAAAATGAACCCTACATGTTTAGCATGTCCAACCACCCTGCTCGTTTTTAATGGATTAAATTTTTTTTTTTTTAACTCAATGTGTCTTTGATATATTTACCCTTTAGTTTTAGCAGGTTCTGGCTGCATCTGGGTACAAAGGGGCCAGTGCTTCTTGCAGCAGCACCATGGTGCCGGGGGTATAAATGCATGAGGCGGATACACTGCCAGCTGCTCAGGTAGAGGCTGCCAGCCAGGACTTCTGCCTTACTAAGACCTATAGACCTTCTATAGCTGTGACTACCAAACCACTGTGAACCATGGGCCTGCCAGAAACTAGGAGGAGTAGAAACAGGTCAGAAGGAATTTGTAGGGTGTTACTTTAAGTTAGTGTTACTTTAAGTTAGTGTTACTTTAAGTTTAGGAGCAGCAAGGGGGATAGCTAAACTTATGTCCGTAGTTATGTACGCATAGTACCAGTACGGATATTACTGATAGAAAAAAATAAAATGATAAAACATAAAAAATGGGGGGTTGACATTGCTCAATTACTTCTAAGAATACTAGTTTTCTTTCTGCCGCTGATAACCCAGACAAAAGCAGGAAGGTTGGAAAGTCAGAGTGAAATTTTCCATGTGCATTTTATGTCACTTTCTCAGAAAGTAATGAAGGATCAGTATGATAGCAAAACAAATTGCAATTTCAGAAGCAAAGATCAAAATAGCAGCCTCCATATCCATTACTACATGTTTCCTTTAGGACAACCCTACTGCTAAAATAAAAAAATAAAATAAATCACCCTGTAAAAGTAGTTTAATACTAACCTTGTCAGCAGCCAAGTAAATCTTCACTTTCTATAAGAGCTAGTGGGGCAGCTGATATTCAATATTTCAGATAGTGTGTTTCCCACTATGCACCATGGTTTGTTCTTCCAGCTGCTACATCATTACGGTGTCCCGTAAAGACATACCAGCCCACAGAAGAAACCACACACTGCAGCAAGGGACCATGTGTTCGACACACCTGAAGTGTCAGATAGTAGCACCACTGATTGCTCTTTAAGTGAGTGAAGATTTCAGTCACTGTTGCTTTAAAGAATTAAAACAAGAAATCCATGTTAACCTGTTAAACAGCATTCTCAAAGAAGACTCAAACATCTGTAAGCAATATTTTTGATCTTAAAGTCCACCGCGTATCTATATGCACTGAAACTATCAATTGTTCTACCCTTTCGTTACTTTATCCAAAACTATACAGTTTGCCACATTAACTGTAGCTCACAATTGTCAATGTTGCATTAATCTGGGGATGGCCCTTTTTATGAGTGTCGTTTGATAACACAAGCACGCCCAATACTTTTGCTGGGTTACAACTATTTCATCATGCACAGTCTAAGCAGCACAATAATTCATAATGTGGTAAAACACCAGTAATTCATCCTTGTAATCATAGCTTCTACACTGACCTGCAAAAGTAATGGTTTCTTTTAAACCAGAAGAAAGGACTCATAGCAGATCTTTTATTTCTGGTTAAGATTGATTGGAAGACTGCATGAAGCATCTGGACCACACAGTTCTTACAACACATATCGCTGGACCAAATGTATAGATGTAAAAGAAATACAGTAGCCAATCAACTTCTTACTCCCATTTCTTAAAAGGTAGTATCCAAGTGCTAAGGGTGGCACAGACAATATTTTTACATACACTTTTAAACATGAAGCCTACTGTAATTTATGCACCACAACAGAGGATTTTGGGGTCCTGATAGCAAAACCATCAGTTATTTTAAACTTTAAAAATTAAAAGCTCTGCAGGCACCACAGCAGGCATACATTTAGGTGTAAGCAACAATATCCTTTTCCATATGTTTCTTTCACTTTGGGACTAAACCTTTTGGAGCCATCAGCCTGCCCACTGAGCTTTAATTGGATGAGGGTAGCAAATAGGGGGGAAAAAACCCTCTATTTATCAGACAATTAACAAATACATTCTGACAAAAGTCCTAACCCTTAACTATTTTAAAAGTGTTTTTGCAGTCTGTGTACTTTCCATCACTTCCTGAATAGGAATTCCCTCAGTGGGGACAAAAACCTGACAGCAGTTACAACCATTCTCCACTCTCTCTAAAGCAGCCTTTCTCAACCAGTGTGAGGTGGCACCCTGGGGTGCCTTCTGGCTTCCTCAGGGGTTCCTAGAAATCTTGTGATGATAGGACTCTGATAAGAAGGGGGACTGGGAACTCTGTGAAGAGGGGACTGAGGACTCTGATGTCAAGGGGAAACGCCACTGCTTTGCGTGGGGTTCCCCTTTAAAATCCATTATATTTTAGACTGGTGTGATTTTTCAAACTTTTAAAGGGTGTCATGACTGGAAAAAAAAGAGAAATGCTGCTCTATAGCTAGAAGAAATATTTTGGCTTGAGTTTTTGACCATAATGAATAGAATTCGAGTTGTGAGGTAACATCCAAAAGTAACCAAATTTTCCTTTGAAAACCTCACTAAAAGTAAACCACGGAGCCTTATTTACTTCCTAAAAAATAAAAGAAGCTGCGTAAAAACATACCTGTGTCTTAAAAGTAAAGAAACAGGAAGCAGATATTGGACATTATTTTGCAGAAATCTACAATGCAATCGTTTGTTAACACTTATTAAATATGAATAATCAAATAAGTAATAAATTGCTGAAAGAACGAATGGATACTGCCAACAGCATTTTTAAAAATATTGAAACCGTTAAAAAGTCTGGTCACCGGGATGGATTGTAGAGAATACCATCACCGTTCCCAATGCTATTTGATTTTTAAGCGGATGCCAATAGGACATCTCTTCTTGGAACTGTACTTAAGACTCCTATATAGGGAATCACTTGCCCTATAAAAGGACATCAGTTAAAAAACTCAACAGAGCAGCATTAAGAAACAATAATTACACAAATGATTGCCCTTCTGATAAGAGAATGTAAACATTAATGTGGAAAATATGGTGGACAGTTCATAAACACATATGCCTCTTACCACAAGACTGATGTTATTGTGTCTCAGGTTGAGCTCTGTCAGAGAGTCTAAACCATTTAAATGTTCCACTTCTGTTATCTGATTCCGAGCAAGGTTTAACACTCTTAACTCTCCCAGGTGGCCGATATTCTCAATTTTAGATATCTGTATAGAAAGAAAATATCACAAAATTACATCAACTTAAAAATACATGAAAAACATCAGTATTGCCATCTGCCGTCAGCTCCATGGGCTTGATTTATGACATGGTACAAAGAGTATTAGTGTTCAATAACTTAAAAAATAGCCAGTCAAAGATCAACACATCAAACATTTAAAAGGATCAATGCTCCTAAAAGAAATTAGGGGTGGATCTTGAATGAAAACTGCACCTTAGCCATCACTTGAAAATGCAAAGTACATGTACCTTTACAAATATTTAAAATTACACTAAACTCAGGAGTTAATTCTTAAAAGTGCCCCTCCTACTAGATTGTAACTGTCACAAGCTCTCAAGAGCTGGGCCCCCCTAACCCTCTTGTACTGAAATTGTATTGTAACTGTACTTTCTCCCTCGCTGCACAAACTATTGGAGCTAAATAAATCCTGTAAAATAACAATAATTATAACTTAACAAATATGTAGCTTATTTGTGTATCACTTGGCTACAGATCCTCAAATATATCTCTGAATTGGTGCCGACACTGTCCTTCCTTCTGGAGGGTGGCTACTTTTGTTGCCCATGGTCCCTGTGTGTGTTGTAAAAAAACACCACTCCAAGCTCACTCCCACGATGGACTACAATCTAATGATTGGTTCAACAGCACAGTCTATCCAGAGCCACCGCAACCTGAAAGCCATCTAAATTCAAAGGCTAAACCCAGAGCATGTGCCAGAATATGAACAATAATTGTCATAAACAATAATGGCAGTCTGCTAACGCATGCACCAAGGTCTGCCTTTAGATTGCCATCATTCTTCACCATGGTGTATACACTGAGCTGTAGCATCTAAATTTAGTACAGCTAGAGTTCAAGCTGTGATTGCTCTCAGCAGACTGCTCAACTATGAGCAGGTATTTCAAACCATTAGAGTTTCTGACACACATTACACTTATATAGGCTGGAGAGTGCATTGAGGAGTTTAATATCTATAAGTGCACTTCTCCAAAAAGCCAGTCTGGTAAATGCAGCAATTCTGAAATGTTTATTTTTCTTCTCTGCTTTGTTTTGTAGAACTGAGTGTGACTGTCTGAGGTCTGTTCATATGCCTCTGGCAGGAAAGGTGGCTGCAATGTATGTCACAGTTTATATCCCAACCGGAGATACACAAGTAGAGGTCACAAAACCCTAGAGGAATGAGTGGAATCGTGTGCCTGCTCACCTAACTCCAGCACTCTCAAACTCAAGCCCTGTTGTATTTTGACTGCGACTTTACATTGCTTTTATACAGTTTTATTATATACATAGCTGTATGACATGAATGGACAGTTCATACCCTGGGTCATAACTGTCTCTCGGAAAGGCACAAATCATAACTACAAAATAAAGCATATAAGGTTATAACATTATATCCACAAACTATTTTATTTACAAGGCTGGCTGAACAATTTAGTGACCAGGGGTCATAATTGCCTAGATGCCCAAGCCAAATGAAGCAGCAATAATATGCATTGGTAAATTGACTATAACCATATGACTAATTTGCCAACCTAAAATTACTACATTTTAAAAGGACAGAAATGGCTTTTTTTTAGTGCACTGTTTAAATAAAAATAACCTGATCTAATTTTTTTTATCATACAGTAGACTGAAAAAAATAAAATATACTTTAAGAAATGTAATTTTATATTAATGTAATTGTACCTAACAAATGCAGTATTAAACAACACACTCCCACATTCAGGCTGCAATGCCTTTTGTGTATGGAAGACTTAAGAGAGACCCGTCCAGTCTACACAGTATGGGTTTCTATCTGTCAAAGGGAAGGTGTAGATTAACATTGTGCAGAGAAACATTAATCTATAGACTGTGAACTGGAAGGTGGTTCATATTGGAAATAGGTAACAGCTAATGTGCGAGTTACAATAAAGGATTCACCCAAAAATGAAATAGTTTCAGGTGGCCTAACCCTTTCAAAGTCTGTATATATTTTTGGCTATTGTGCATCTAAATACAGTTCATGAAGGTAAACCATCCATCTTATTTTAAGATGAATATCCAGGATAAACCATTCTTGCCATCTCCCCATACATGCCTCTTGCTTACTATATTAGAAGTGTGCTAAATCAGTTTGATACTCCAGCAGCCAATAAGGTATACCTGCCATGCATCAATGAAAAGAAAAAAAAACAGTAAACACATATTGCCAATATGTGCCAATCTATTTTTAACTTCAGAAAGTGGAGTGCAAAAATTACATCCTTTCAGGCCTTACCCACTGATACAATGTTGTTTTACTAAGAAACCACTTAATTATGTTAAAAGAATGCAGACTTTTAAAAGGTACCTCAAACTATGCATGTATAATACAAAATTATAGCTTTATTTAATCATGTTTAAAAAAGGTAATATTCCACAATTGTAATGCATACATTTAAAAATACACAAGGGAGTAAATTCTAGACCCCACTTTCTCATATTTATTGTCAAGCACATATCACATTTTTATCTCAGATGGATGCCATAGGACTTCTTAGTCTCCTTAGGATAGACTGTTGGAATTGCTTGACAAAGTTTGGAGAAAGTATTGCTACGCGTTTCACAGTAAAGGCCACTTCTTTAGAAAGATGGCTATAAATAGCGAAATTGTAAAAAGCTTTTCCATCAAGGTTGCACAGGTCCCCGTATGGCCTTGGTGCGGATAAGGAGGTACCAAGAAGGAACACACCTAAACTCTTGGTGCAGAATTTTCTAGGGCAATAGCCTCTACAGTTCCTCACACAATCTCCAGCTGAACCAAATTCTGGAAAACTGAGAGGAAGCCTTCCCATTGTGTCCTAATAATATATAATGCAAATGAAACAGAAAGACAAGGGGAGAGAGGAGTAAGAGCAGGCCAAACCTTAGGTCTCCTCTGTCATGTGAGTACAGTAAGGCAAACAACATCATACAGTTTTTTATTATTATTGTTAAACCTTTTAAGACACACAATCACCAGCTATTTTTTTATTTTATGTGAATTAAAAAATGAAGCTAAAAAATGAAGCTAAATGTATATATGCATGTTCATCTCTAATTTGCATTAACTATTAAACTTCAAATTGCATTTTAAATACAAAAATCCCACCAATTTAGGGTTAAGTGTTTTTGTTGAATTACTATAATCTGTTACTGTTTACCAAAAGGTCAGATTATCTAAAACGTTCAACCTTAGAATTGCTATTTATCTTATTTGCTGCCGGAAAACTTTCCTGTGTCTTAGCAATAGATCCTGCCCTGATGGCAGCCCTGCAGCATTTCAGGCTAATGTTGGAACATATAAAAAAAACAATTTGTTACTTTATATATTAGTGTATTTTACCTTTAAGCATGTTATTATTGAAATGCAAACATTTGCATTCTCACCATGTACGCAAAATAACTTTTACCAGAGTATGTCGGTCACATAGTGAGCATAACAGGGCCACAACTGCCTCCAGTCTTTTATTATGTTGAACCACATGAACATTTATGTAGTCAGGAACACAGCCTGTAAGTTCACCATTGTGCCAACTTAAAAGTAATTATTTTAAAAACAAAATGCCACTACAGAAAAGAACCCGAATATTTAAAGAACTACTGTTTGACAGTGGGGACACCTTAAATTATATCTAAACACAAGAACCTTAATGCAATATATTGCAGCTTACTAGTCTTTATATGTGGTAAGTGCATTAGTTTGCTTGCTTCAGGCTACATTTTGCAAATATATAAAAAGTCCTGTTGATCCTGCTAGAAATGATATGTCCTTGTAACTTCCTATGGACTAAACTGAATCTTAAACAATACCTTCCCAGCTATTTTCCTAAGATTATACGACCTCTCGTTCTTATGTAATGGAAATGAAGAGAGGGTAAGAGGTCAGTATCAGCAGGTGAATAAAAAGGAAAATAGATCTGAAAAAAGGAATGTAGCCACGACATCGAAGAATTGGGAAGCTGCAATATATTACACTTTAAATCTGTTTTATTTGTTCCTCAACTTATTGATTAATGATAATTTTAACTTTCAGGTTGAAATTTTTCTGAAACCGTGATGTCCTTGTTGAAAAAGCAATCTAAGCCAAAACACAAAATTTACACCAAAAAGACACTACTGGTAAATGACAGAATAAAAGGAATACTTTGCATTTGCTCAAAATGTATATGACGCGTATATTATTAAAAAGAATTAGCAGGGGGGCGTGGCCAGGCGCATGGAGCGGTAAGACGTGCTTTAGCTCGTCTCCCGCTCACAGGGCACACTATAAAAAAAAATTCAAATGTTCATTCTAATATGGCAATCTGGAGACGTTCAGTGGCAACCTTGATGAACAGAATGCCCCCAGGAATGTTATTTTCTGCATGTGTGGTTGGCTCACATCTTCTCTCAGAAGTCTACTCTGAGACTCAAATAAATTCTAATCATCCTCTGCAGCGGGAGTTTCATTTATGGAAACATACATGTGCGTTTGTAAAAGGATGAGGCACTGTAGCTTTTCATGAAATATTGACTTTGCTCAGCTGCTGCTTCAAGACAGAGAAAATATAGGAAACTGTAAAAATGCTTACTAAAAACCTTACCATGTACGTAGTTTATCTACAGAAGTTTTGGATGGACATTTTTTCTCTACTGTGCAATTTCCCATCATATAGGTCACAGAGCAAATGGTGGACTTTTGACATCATGATGTCTTATTAGAGGAACAGCAATACCAAAAAATTATAATCATCCTAAAAAAGAAACCACTGAAGAAAGCAGACCCCTTAGGTTTTTTAATAAAGTGCATGGAATAGACAGGACTGTGTGCTATTAGACCTTTAATAATCTTGATCTTCGGTAGAGCTTTTAGGAAAAAATGGTGAAGCTTCCCCAAAAGCCACAGCCTGATTGCTAAATGCTGTTAAACTTTTCATAATATAAAGAACTATGAGGAATGATGAGAGGGAGGATAGTTTCCTCTAAAGTGTCAGTGCGGTTTGCTAAAGGTAATTTTCTGAGCTATAATACCTTATATAATCTGTAGGTCCACCTTATTAAGAAATCGGTTTCCTGTGGAGAGGAGAGGTGGACCACGCTTTATGGACATCACCAAGTGCTATATTTTGAAAAGTATTTTGTAATATGAAAGTTATCCAGTTTGTGTGTCCTTTGATGACAATGTTTCTTCTACTATACTGCGGGCACATGATTGGAGAGTTTAATTAGACAAAGAGCTGCTCCATATACTCTAACTTGTATTCGTAGAGCTTGCCCAACGTTCGTCTGTATCTTGACTGTCTAAAGCCCAGGTTTCCTTTCAGTTTTACAATGGTTTTATTATGAAGTATACAGCCATAAATTATTTCTACAAAAAATAACAATCGGTCTTACAAGAATCAATAACTGGCCTGATTGTATTAAGGAGATCATAGTCTGCTGAAATATTTAAGGGAGCTTACTTTTGTCATTTAGGTAGAATAATCTAAGGGGGATTCCATAATATGATCTTAGCATCAACGTAGGAAAGGTAGGGTGCAGCAAACAGGACCTGTAAACCATTATTACCAAATACAACATTTAAAAAGGCACTTTGTTAAATCTAGTCGCAACAGGTTTATATATTGCCTGTTTTTTTTGTGTCAGTGGATTCTGCCATGCATGGTAGCAAGAGGGTTTTTCATTTTAAATAAATTATGCAGTATATTGCCTTTGATAAATGACTAAAAAGAGATAACTGGTCTACATTCTTTATTATTTGTTTCTGTCCCAGAATACCTGAATTTGGAATTCTCATCATGGAATTAATGTTTCTGATGGCAGCTCAAGCAGTGTTTTTAGCCCCTGTGCATTTCCTAGTGCCAGATTGATTGTGCTGAGCACTATATGCATGTCAGCATTACCCTGATTGTGAGATGTTTCTTCTGTACTTCCCATTGCTTGGCACTAGTCTTTAGATTATTAGCAGCTGAACCAGAAAGAAAACTACTTGTTCTTTTGCTCTTGATGACTATATGAAGGAAACCTTGTCAATGAGCCAGAACATACACCCATATAACAACATTTCCAAGACATTTTAACATTGTTTTAATTTTTTTTAGGAATGTTATCAATAAAACTTTTATTACTCCAGACAGTTACCAACATTTTAAAACTAGCAAAAAGTTATGGGGATAATGGCAGAGTAATTGAAAATAAGCTTTATTGGGGTAACAATGCATTTTGTGTGACACAGCCAACATTGAATGTGAGTGCTTTTCAATTTGGGCTCACTAAGTGTACAATGAAGTGTACAGTGATCTAAGGTGGCACCTTAAGAAGGTTCTACAATTGACACTATTGACTACTTGACAGACTTAAAGTTAAATAAAATTAAACAAATATTTGCCGATTGGCAGGCTTTCTGTGACACAACAGACTGTGTAAGTCTCTTTTGCCAGCAATTGTTTCCTGTACATTAAGCTGCATTTGCGCAGCTCAGTGTACAAGCTCGGCATGCTGAAATGAACTTGGATTCATAACCCAGAAAAACACCAGGGCAAAGAGTGAATCCCCGGCAGAGAGAAGCACACCGCTAAAGGGGATCCCTTTGGCGGGTAAGTCTGCCATAAAGTGCCAGCATGCTGTGCATACTAGCACACTGACTAAAAACTCCAGATGGCTCTCTTTTTGCCACACCTAACTTTACTTCTACTTTAACTGACCAGGAGAAGATTGGTTCTGAAGTGAATTAAGAGTTACACTAACTTTTTAGCTCTGTTCCTGTGTAACCCAAGAAACAGTTTATGCAGTGATCTATTCTAATTGGACAAATCCTGGACATTGTTCTCCACTGGGTTAATTTACCTTCCACTCTCCATAAGTAAGAGTACCTAAAACTCAAAAACAGGTCACTAGCATTTCATATTCCTTTAGTGTTACTCAGAGAAAATGCATTATTCATACTGTATGTAGGTTATTATGAGTATAATAGCATTTGGCAGACATTTCTGGCAGTTGAAACAATTACCTGATTTCCATGCAAGTCCAAAACATCCAGATTTTTAAGATTTTCCAAATTTGTTATTTTCCGAATTCTGAAGTAAAATTTAACAAATTAATTGTGAACACATATAATACAAAAGCATTTTCTTTGTCTCCTTTTGAGCTGTACAGTTTAAAATCATTAATCTACATAACAGACAAGGACTGCTAAATTCACACTGACAGGGGATGTCAGAAGGACACTACGCAGTCTGCAGTAGCCAAACCTTTAACAAGCACTTAAGTTCATCAAGTTACCATAATGTGACAGCCAAGAGTGTGAGCTGCTCGTAAGTATGTACTGCAGTATTCTGTCTATAAAACAGCTTTTAAAATATACATTTACATTGAAATTATTTTCTTACTTTGAGACATTTATTTTACTTGGCTTTCTTAATGCTGATAATTGTATACATATGCTGTTCCTTTTCAACTCCATCACACATAAGCTTGGACAGCAACCAAGCTCAAGGAATTTATGTGCTAAGAGCAACCGAATGATCAAAAAGACACCTGATTCTCATAACCACACTATCAAATAGTAGTAATTATACACCATATAAATCCAGTATAAAAACAGATTTATGAAATGTTTTCAGGATAACAAGTTCACCTTAAGAATAAATGTTATTCATGTATTTTAAAGAAGCATTAAACTATCTGTCTGCATAAATGACTGTGGAAAACTTTTAACTGTAACTGAACTAGCAAATAATTATTAAATATAATCTGTCAGTCATGTTAAACATTTAGAAGTCCTGCCTAATAACAGTACCCTCAAGGTTTCTGTTATTACCTATACTAGCCAGAAAACCCCCACCTGCGCTTTGCACAGATTTCATTTCACTGTGTTTAAAAAAAAAAAGGTCTTGACTTCAGGGTTAAAGAACGCTCACTTGTCTACCCCACCCTGTTTAGCACAAGTGCGTATATGCCCAGACAAAAGGGGTTATTCACATAGCTGCCGAAGGCAGCCAAGTGGATAACCAAGCCGAAGTGAACAGAGCCGAACGACGTTCGGCTATTCACTCCAGCTCAGTACAACTGAATTCAGCCGAAGTGCAGAGGGTCTTTGACTCAATTCCGATTCAACATCTGGATCAGCTGAGCCGAAGCTCCGGCAGCTCATTCGCTGCCGTTCGCCCCTATTCTCATGGTACCTCGGTAACTATTGTGAATAGTCTGTACAGGCGGTCGAAGCGAGCCAAAGGATCAGCCGAAGCTACGGCTGGATCCTTTCGCTCCATAGTGAATAATCCTCAAAATGTTTTTGTTTTCATTTTGGATAGAGTGGGGAAGGTAACCCCTTCAAGTTTTTACTGCTATCTAGAGCTTCCTTACAGATATATTCCCTTATTTACTATCACAGTTTAATGGTCTCACCAGAGTAAGTGAGAAAACATTTTACAACAGGGACGAAAGCAGCAATAAAAATCTAACAGGGGTTCTAGCCTTTACATACACTTTTTGCACTTACCATAAAATATTTTTCTTGGAGTTCATTGAGGGTATAGTAAGTCATAGACATGTGGGTTATGTTGCTGCCTTTAAAAAAGGTGGACACTGGCAAACAGAAAGAAAAATTTGAAGGCCAGCCTAACTGGCATTCCTTTGTGAGTAAAATACAGAGGAGTGGAACCTGTGTCACCCAATTAACTCCAAGATAAAGCTTTTATGTGGAGTATAAAAATCTTATTTTCTTTATCATCCATTGAGGGACACAAGTATATAGTAAATCATAGGCATGTGGGATGCCTAAAAACAATCCAGCTGAGGGGTAGACAACAGCCATAATGATTGAATGGATGTGTAAATCTTACTAGGAAAGTATCCAAACGAACATTTGGCTGTAAGGCCAAAAAATGTGGGGCACAATACAGATATTTCTACTAAAAGGAAAGTCACCAAGGATGAACCAAAGGGCTGCTGTACAGGCTATTCACAATAGCCCATACAGCAGCCGAAGTCACAGCCGAAGCGGGGAGAATGATCTGTCGAAGCAGACCATTCTCCCTGCAAATGTAAAAAAACTGGGCGGAGCCAGCCATGATGTCACGGCTGCCTCCATCCAGTTGTTGTCATTCAATGACATCCCAGCATCCTCCGGTTATTTGAGGACAATTTGAAACAATGGGCTGTCATTAAATGACAACAACTGGGTGGAGCCAGCCATGACATTGCAGCTGGCTCCACCCAGTTGCTGTCATTTAGTGACAGCCCAGTGTCCTCAAATGATCTGAGGACGCTGGGTTGTCATTAAATGACAACAACAGGGCGGAGGCAGCAGTGACCACATGGAGGCAGGCAGTAGGTCAGCACGGATAATCCATGTGGCTCTTCTAAATAGAAGTCTTTTATTCCAGAAAGGTAGGAAAGAAGGAGTGCATATGAAGCGTTTTATGCTGAAAGTGACGCAAGTGCTGAGGTCTCACAGGATGATTGCATTACATCAGAAAAAAAGGTGGGGGGGTTAAATAAACAAAAAAACTAATAGTTGAGAGCCATAAGGCAATTCCTAATGTTCCTGTGTCACAACCTGCTCATTAAATGAGTGAAAGGGATAGGGTCACATTCAAAGAGGAGCCACTGTTCTAGGCCTGAACAGGAGGCTGTAGAGTACTAATTCAGTACTCTACAGCAGTGGTCCCCAACCCCCGGTCAAATGGTACCGGGCCACACAGTCTCAGTGCAGTCCGGTCCTGCAATATGGGGCAGTGCAGGGTCCCGGTGTTCGAACACCGGGGCACTCCAGATACTGTGTCCATGACTGTCATGGACTTGGAACAGCCCTCTGCCACTAACAGGCACAGTACAAGGACTGGGAAACACCATGGAAATGTACATTAGACAATGCAAGTTATTATCGGAGGCTGGGTATACTGGAGGTATTATCTCTACTTTAAATCATAAGGGCAATCTTTTGGCTAATGGACTCACAACACACATGCCTAGAATGCACCATAATATGAAGCACGGCATCTGAAGGAAACATACTAGGATGCCTTCAGTATTTCTTCTATAGTTTCACAGGAAAATATCAGAGGCTGTGTTATACTAAAGGTTGTACCACTGCTCTGAAATTTGAGTAACACTCTGCTGCAAACTAACCAGTGCACACAGGTCTGGAAAGCACTCACTGCTTAGCTTATAGAGGAGATACCAAGTACCAAGATATCTATGCCATGGGGAGACACTGGGGACTGGGTACACTAGAGCAGTGCTCCCCAACCTTTTATCGCCGCGGACCAGTCAACGTTTGATAATTTTACCGTGGCCCGCTGAGGGGGGGACGTTGATTGTTTATATTTTAGATTATTTTGATTTAATAATTTTAATTTAATTGTATTTAAAAATGCCTTCAAAATAAAATACAGTTACACCAAAAAAAATGAAAGCGTTGGAATTCTTCACCTATTCCACCACCGAAAAACTGGGCGAGATTACGTTAAAATGTGTGACCACGTCACTGGTCACACATTCTAACGTAGTCTCAAACTTTGATAGATCACATGCCTACCTGTAATCATTTACAGTGTAATATTCCCCATTATAATCCATTTGTCTAATTACATAAAATAGCAGTACACAACAGAGAAATAGATTATAATAGGGAACATTACAGTGTAATATTTCCCATTATAATCTACATCTAATGACATGATGTAAGACACCCCCCCTCCCTTCCCCCGCTCGGACTCACCCTTCCAGGAGCAGCAGCCATGTGTCGATGTGTGCACTCACTGCAGGGGGCGGGGCGGGGTCGTGTGACACACACACACGTCTCCTGTGACTCACCTCCCCTCCTGTTACAATAGACGCGGCCGGGAGGGGAGGTGAGTCACAGGACCCGTCCCCTCACTGTGAAGCCCGTCGGCAGTGCGGGGCCCCGGTGTTCGAACACTGGGACCGTGCACTGCCATATATTGCATGACCGGACCGCACTGAGACCGGTACCGGTCCGCGGACCGGGGGTTTGGGAACACTGCACTAGAGGTTGTACCGTTGCTATAAAAAAAAAGGACAGCGCTTTGCAGCTACCTGGCACAGTACCCACAGGTCTAGAAAGCACCCTATGCAAATCTTATACTGTAGATACCATTTACAAAGATACCTGCACTATAGGGAGACACTAGAGACTTGGTACACTGGAGGTTGTACCAATGCACTAGAACTGAGTGCTATGTTGCTAACTAACATAGTACCCACAGGCATGGAAAGTGTCATAATGCAGAACCAGTTCCTGAAGGTCTTCAAAGACTCAGCTCTGTATCTGTAAAGTGCTCTGTGCCTAACAAACCAGTACACTAGGTGTTTGGGGAGCAGTTACTCTTGAAATGTCAGTGACCCTATTTATCTGGCACCTACACATTCTATGACTATTTAAGTCAGAGGACAATGAGCCTGCCAATATGTTTCAGCTTATGGAAAGTGATAGGACCTCCTAGTAACCCGCACAAAGTCAGGGAGAGCATACAAACTCAACCAAATGAGTAAATAACTTAATAGGTTGAGGTAGTTACCTATAGTCTTCTTTATTGTTTTTCTTTTTTTAATTATATCCATACACACACACACTTAGAGGAAATTCAAACAGGAGGAACATACAAGCTAATAAATGTGTTCATGGTAACTAGTATGTTCCCAAATTTATTTTCAAGGGTCTCTTTTTTAGATATACATCTTATCAGCTAAATATAAATACTCTTATGACTATATGTTATCATTTGAAAACAAATGTTTGTGTGCATTGTAGTTATGGGGCTAGATAAATAAAAATGAGCAAATATCTGGGTTGTTGCCCAGCAAGTTGTCTAGCCGTGATTTCTTAGCACTAGATACTCTAGTGCTGATTACGCGGCAGGCTATCTGTGCAAACATTTGCTGCAAGACTCATTCCCAGGATGCTCCAGGCAAGCTTTATCAGGTAGGGGTTAAAGAATTCAGTCAGCTAACTAGCCCATCTGTCCTCAGATCTTTCAGACTTGCTTAAAAGTGGATCAGTAGTGCATGGTTAGCTTGAGCTTAATGCTCTCAGGTAAAACACCTACCTCAGGCCCAGAAAAAAAATATTATTCTCCTTCTAGGTCACAAATTGTTTTAAAGAGAACTAATCGTGATTAATGTAGTATACAAAATAATCCAGGTACCAACTCAGCAATTAGATATTGGTCTCCTATACAATGAATCGTATATTTGAATATTAGGAAATACATGAATACCTGTTCTTTCCGAGCATAAGAACACGCAATGATTTTATAGAGGAAAGTCCACTTATTTCTTCAATTTGGTTATCATACAGATCTAGAAATATGAGACGCTGAAGACTTGAAAGGTTTTGCACTCTTGTTATAAAGTTGTGTTGCAAATATAATAGCCGTAACTGCTCCTCGCCTTCAATTACAGGGAAAGCCGACAGTTGTAATCTGAAAGAAAAATGATGTCATTGAGGTAAAATTTTAAGTAGCGCACAATTAAAACTTCAATCCAAAGCATATGAAATCAAAGTAAACTTGAATCAGTATTTTGCACGAAAAGAGAAGAGTTTTTCATCTGGCCAATACAGTTAGCTTTTGTCGTTACTAGGGTTCTAATTTACACCTAGGATGTTAAACCTATGGGTGGGACCCCAAGCAGTTTTAAATGGAGAGTCATGCAAGCCTCTCAATACATTTTTCTTTGCTTAGTATAGGACTTACATGCGCATAACCTACTTTCACTGTACTAGTCCTGTTTAATGGTTTGCAGGAAAGAACAAAACTAAATGCTGCAAATTGTTGAACAACCATGGTGATAACAGTGCTTTTCTAGAGAATTGAATCCATGTTATGGAAACAAAATCCTAATATGAATTTTCAAATGCTAGCAAGAGATACACAGGTATGAGCAGGATGCAGAGGTTCCCTGTTTACTCTGTCACACATGCATGTACAATGCAATGCATACCGATAGGTTACTCCCAAACTGTTGTGTTAAATTTTATCAGGTTTTATTGACAGAGAAATTTCAATGTCTGCATTTTATTACGAAGAATAATGTTTTCCAATTATATTTTAATTCATGCATCTGACTTGCTATCAGTTGCCGTCTAATTCAAGGTTATGAGGTAGTGTGAAGACTACAAAGAACGCTAACTAAACCACAGAGAGTTAAGTACTAGATTGTGTTCCTATTACCTTTAGGTAAGTATGAAAACACAGCACTACTGTGGTTCCTGACTTACCAGAGAAGGTTGTCCATATACTGTAGATAACCTGGTCTGCCTTATCACGGGAAAGGATTTTCATTTTGTAATTGTTCCTGTTATTTCTGCTGTGATTTGTTTTTGTTCGACTATCTTTGAAATTGTAAAAGAAAATGTTTTTTTTAAAAAGTCCAAGACAAGGACTCTAGGATAAGGACATAAGATCAATCTTACCCAGTCTGCTCGATAAGGAATTAGGAAATGTCTATTGGCAGTCTGCAACCTCTACAAACAATCCCTTGCTATCTGATCTTTGGGGCAGAATCAATTCACTAAAAAGATTTTCCTGGCCAATTGTCATTGTTTCCTTGAATATGACAAACATCAAGGATGTCTGCTCAATGAATAAATGTGTGCACTTGGTCCATACAAATATGTATGTTTATGCCCAACTGTTCTAAAACCAGTTTTAAAAAGTAAAAAGATCTGGCAATTACGTCTGTGGGTAGCTTACTTCCTTTATTTCCTGTAGATAATGCCATCATATTATGCAGTGCTTGTATTTATATAGCAACAGCATATTACACAGTATTTAAATGGTCTAGAGCCTTGGTTCTCAACTGGTGGGTCGTGACCCAAAAGTGGGTCGCGACCTCGTGTTCAGTGGGTCGCCACATGCATTCCACTTATCTAGGTGAGAGGCTCCTCTGCCTCCCCCTAGCGCAGCACTGTCAGTTCTCTCGCCAAGCAGCCATTCAAAATATCCAGCCTGGCGCTGAGTGTCAGCTTGAGGTGGGATGAGATGGTGGCTATGGCCGCAAGGGAGCTGCTGTGCTGTGAAGGAGCTTCATCCATATGTGCATTGCTTTTCAGCTCCCTCACGTGTCCTATGGAGGTGCCTGGACCAGGGTGACATTCTGGCTCCCGGAACCTCTACAGGGCATGCAAGGGAGTTGTACAAGCAATGCACATATGGATGAAGCTCCGTCACAGCACAGCCGCCCACACTGGATCCTAGGCTGAGAATCCACTCCAGTTCTGGTAAGTAAGGGAGACTGGGTGGAACTCAAAATATTTTTTGGAGTGTGTACCCTAATTCTGTGCATTCCATTGCAGTGCGACTTGGGTCGTGACCTTATGAACAAGGACAAATGTGGATCCTGAGGATACACAGGTTGAGAACCACTGGTCTAGAGAGCCATTCACATTGGTCCCCGCCCCTAAATGGAGTTACAATCGAATACCTTCTATTCATGCTTAAACATCCAGGGAGATCATTTTGGGTATACATTAGCTAAAGGATAAGATTAGTTCTCGAGCATAAAGTAGATACTGTATAAAAACCTGAGACTCCACATCAAGCTGGTGTCTCTGAAATAGTGCATAGACAGATGCAGATAGCAGCTGTACTCCATGCAGACTAAAATGGATATGGTGGTGCTTGTAGTGACAATCAAGGATGGCTCCGTGTTAATCCACAGGAAATTAGAAGAAAAGTCATCAGCACTTAGTACTTCAAGTTGCAATAGTACTTTAGTTGATTGGTAAAGCCTCACATCCATCTGTGTCGCCTTGAAGAGTGGAACCGGCACGGTCCTGAAACCTTGGCTTATTGACCTACGTGACACTTTACCAATAAACTAAAGTACTTTTTGCAACTTGAGTGCTGGTGAGTTTTCTTCTATTTTCCTCTGAAATAGAACACAAGCTACCCACCATAAAGTATAATGAAGTACCAGTCAGACATTGAGGCTCACTCAACAATATTAAACAAAACCAGACACAGGTGCTAAGCTGGCCCACACACAATACTGAAGAGATGCTACCTCCCACGATGAAAAAGCAATACCCGCTATGTTATTTTCAGCTCTCACTGGTTATAAATTCTAAAAATCATAGCTGTTATGGCAAGGGCCATTCATTATATTTAGCGAACTGATTTTTACATCTATTCATTTCTGCTCTGAAATTTTATGTGAGTTATCAGGTTAATGTGCTTTTGGCCAACTTTATAGTAGAATCATGCTTACCTTTCTAAATTGAGTTTATCGGGACTGGCAGCCTTCTCCTCAGCAGTACGTCGCACAACAGGACATCCTGGTTCTGATTTTGACAGACCTCTCATGAAACTAAAATGGTCTATTTAAAAAGAAAGTACATTGGTATATTATAAAAAATGTAAAAAGATATACTGTATATGCGAGCTTCCCCATTCTAACATACCTAGCTTACCTTTTGGATGATGTGCCTCCTCACTATTGTTGTTTGGGCTGGCACAGTGGGAGACGGATCTGGACCTGTTTTTTGTGGATACATGGCCTGGAACATCTCCAAACGCCCCTAGTGACATTGACTCCCTTCCATATCTTGGAGCAGGGCCAAATACTTCTGTCACATTTGCTGTCAGCGGAATGTAAGGCTGCTTATTGCGCCCCATAGGACTTGAGACTCTTCCATCTGAAGGTATAGATAAACCAAAACATGCAACAAATAAAACAAAAGAAAATACATGTCACACTAAAGCAACAAAAATAACAACACAGAGGGAATCGTACATAAAAGAACAAAAAAAAAATTATACTGGCTCCTATAGGGAGCAAAACATTTTCTTCCAGGTATTGATATAGATATTGTTTCAGAACATATAGCTCAAACAAAAATGGATTTATTTGCCTACAAAGACAACAACAAAGCCCTCCGATTGACTGCTAAGGGTTACTAAATTTCAGAGCTATCTGTACAGTGCTAATAGTTAGAGATCTTAGTTCTATGCTTAAGAATTGTGGTTCATATTAAACAGGCCTGTTAACCACACGCTCTGATTTATAAAGGTCAGCTTGATCCCATAAAAGATACTTTTTTGCTGAGCCATAAATTTTGCCACAAGAAAGCCACATTAAATTAATATAGGAGTGTGTGGAAACACACATTTATCATAGCTGAATTTATTGCCAACAATCAATATTTCATCTCTGCTATTGTGATGTAGAACATATGGTACCAATGCAAGATCAGAAGGCAGCAACAAATTCAATTGCTTTTTAGATGGAAGCAGGTTTCTTTCAATTGTTCGTAATCTTCAATATAAAGTAACCTCAGCATTTGTTGTAAGTAGGGATGTACCGATACCGGTTTTCCGGTATCGAGTGCAGGTACCAATAGTTATACAGTATTTCTGATACAGGTAATTCACCTACTGATACCGGTACTTCAGCTAGCATGGAGCCAGCTTCCGGGTCCATGCTGTTTGGCCAGATCCATGCTAATTGGCAGCAAAGCATGCTTGCCGGCCATACTTTATGGAGCCGGTTTCCCTGCCAATCAGAAAGCCAGGCAGCGAGTCATTACCTGCCGCCTGATTTCCTGATTGGCCAGGAAGCTGGTTCCATGTTCCCTCGCAGCACTGCCGGTCAAAGGAAATCTCCCTCTGAACAGAAGTTCTGGTATCGGGGAAGGTATCCGAACATTTGGGCAAGTACTTTCCCAAATACTCGGTATTGGCACTGATACAAAGTATTGGTGCATCCCTAGTTGGAAGCTATGTAAACTATTCCTAGAACAATTAAAGTGCATCTCTAGGCAAAACATTTAGTTTTAGATAGAGTGGGGGGGTTTAGACCCTTTGTCAAGGGTTTATTACCCTCTATTTGTACTGGTGACCATTGTCACCAAGAGATGGAGTGACAAGGAATTCAAGATTTTAGAGTTGTCCCCAGAAGAGGCGAGGGAAAATCTTCCAATTGGAACATCTGTTCCGGGGGAAAAACTGTGGAGACTCACCCTCAAATTTCTCCAGTGGCACAAAGACACCAAAAAAATAACATAGCAGGGATTTTAACTAGGGATGTCCCAATGCCACTTTTTTTAAGACCAAGTACAAGTACTGGCCCTCGTGTACTTGTCGATACCAATTACCAATACTTTCTCTTAAAGGGACAGGTGAAATTTTTTTTAAAATAATACAGAGAATAAGGTATCACTGCCGGGGGTCTGATGGGGAGTGTAGTTACCTCGGTAACAAGTGGAACCCCTCAGGACACGGTATCAATAGTGGCTACGATAAGGAGGGGTTAGGTTGGTAGCACTGCCCACGATACTGTTGGAGCGTGATGGGATCAGTAGCTGTCACACCTGATTATCAGTGGAATGGTATACAAGTTATTGCACACAAGTACAAGTATCGGGCCCGATTCCGATGCTAGCATCGGTATCGGGACATCCCTAGTTAAATATCTATTATAAATATGAAAATAATTGCTTTTAGTACTTTTAGAATCCCAAAATATATAATATCATTAAAATATGTATGAGGGTACTGTCATTTATGCTGTGGAACTAAAAATATACTGATGGGGTCAGATCAATTGAACAGCCAAAGCACATTCATAGGATCACACACTTAGGTGAATTTATTAAAGGAGTGGAAACTGTTTACCTAATGATGTGTATGTTCATTTAACTTAGTGAGTATGTGCCCCTGTGTTCAGGTTAATTATCCATTCAGGTGCTGTTTTTTTTAATAAACCTTTCACGCGATTGGGTATTGAAACACAATTCCACTTTATTCGCTAAACTAAGTGAACATTTTCTTGTATATTCATTTTAATAAATGCAGAGTGTCCACTCCTTTAGTTAAGCAAACCTATGGCCTTGCTCATCCATTAGCTCACAACATTCTATGAAGGCATGATTATTTATGAATGTGAATGCACCCATAGCAAGCAACCCTATCGCAAAACAGACCATGGCACATTTATAAACCAGCAATGCAAATGCTTAAACACAACAGAGGCAAACAATAGAAATGCCCCAAATTCACATACCAATGTGTTGTGGAGTGTATACATGGAGACATAAGTCAATCAGACTGGCGTGTGATAAATAAAAAGACTCGATGTTACGTGCTGGCGCTGGAGTAGGAGGCGGCGATCGGTCCCGCAGGCGCGAGGAGAGGGGAGTCTATGATACACTGCTGTGGGTGGAGCTCCAGGTGGAGTCCTCTGGGCAGTCGCCGGCCAACCACATTAGACCCCACCTGGAGCTCCGCTCACAGCAGTGACGCGACGCTCCTCCAGCCTGCCAGAGGACACCAGCCACCATGGAAGGTAACAACAACAAAAAAAAAACAGCGCAAGCTTCGGCGCTAGACATCGGGGCATTTTGACAAGTACCAGTACTTGTCAAAATGCCCTGTATCGGGCCCGATTCCGATGCTACCATCGGTATCAGGACATCCCTAGTTTTAACCCTTCCCTACTTTATCGAAAACTAAAAATAAATGTGGCTACAGATCCATTTTAAGCATCTTATTCACCCCTAATTTACACATGTTTAATTGACAAAGAATTTGTAATATGCAACATTATGTTAAGTAATCATATTGACAAAAGAGGGTTACATTTGGTTTCCATAGCTTATCATGGCCCTACCATGTTAGACCATGTTGTACACCACTCTTTGGTCTAGTGCAGTGGTGGTAAACCTTGGCACTCAAGCTGTGCCAAAACTACATATCCCAACATGCATCTGCCTCTGAGAGTTATGTCTGCGGCTGTCAGAGCCTTGCAATGCCTCATGTGACTTGTAGTTCCAAAACAGCTGGAGTGCCAAGGTTCGCCATCACTGGTCTAGTGAGTTGTCACCCATCAAAATTATACATGCAACGTTCACAAGCCAAAAGTTTATATTTCACCTGTGTTGACTTTACGTGGACTTGAACTTAAAAGTGAAGATTTGCTGTCTTATAGGGAACATCTACAAATGTTAAATGTAGCCAAGCAGTGCCCTGAAAAATCTACCCTCTTGAATTCCTCATGAAGAATAGCACAGCACTACCTGTGACTTGAGCCTCATAGCTGTATATCTCCAGTGTGAGACCATCTTAGGCACCATCACCTGTAACTACTAGTCTCACACGATTTTATGTTGTCACTACTGTGCTGCTGACTGTTCTTCTTGCTGGAGGGGAAGCTTTACCTGGGAAACTGCAGTGCAAGAATCCCCCTGCTTCCGCTTCATCCATTGTGTGCATCTGTGCTTTCTAGAGCTATCCTGCTGCTACTCGATCATTACCTCAGCAATCATAAGGGGGAAGCACCACCCTGTTCCTTTACCAAGATGGGCGCCTTCACAAAGAGACACAGTGTGGAACAAAGTCTGGTAAAGCAGTGAAGTGGAAAAGATCAGCTGCATGAAGATCTCTATTTGCCTTTCTTGGGCACAACTTACACATTTTGGATCCTCTTCAATGGTCTTACCTGCCACAAATGTGTAACCCCTGCAACACACTTTAAAAAGCCCTGACCATGTGCCTTTTTCTGCAGCAGGAAAAGCAATACCATTCTGAAAAAACAAGCTGTCGCACGGTCTCTGGCTAAGCATGTATCTAAAGTCAAAACTATTAGTTTTGTACAGAGTGGAGTAAGACTGGAACCACTGTCAGACTTTTTTTATGGCTTATTTGTCCTGATGGCCACCATCAGTAAGACTGACAGCGAAGGAATATCCAAACTTTTCAAATCATTCAATGGGAACAGCTGTTGGTGTGAGAACTGTCTAATAAGGGATTTTCCTCATTCTGGAGAGAATACCATTCACTGGAAACGGTAGATCCACTTAAAGGGAGGTACTGTGCATGTAGAGTGGGGCAGCTGGTGATGGAAATAAGACTGGAAAGAGGATAGCTGAAGTATGGTGGGCAACGACAAAGGACAACCTAGTAAGGCAGTAGGCACATTTAATCATTCTCATACGCTCATGCATTGTCCCGCACTTTAGGAACCAATGTCATTTATGGTTGATTTTAAAAATCTTCAAGCAATAGTCGTATGGTAAGGGTGAAGGAAAAGATTAATACAGAACAAAAAAAATAGAGGGAAAATAATCTAATAAAGAGCAATATCCATGTCTGAAGAAAACCAGTGTTGTGTACCAAGCTCTTGTAGTTTCAATTTTAAAAAAGCAAAAAAAGGATTTATAAAGTCCACTGCAACTGGTTGCAATTTGCACCCCATCACTTATTTCATGGACTAGAAGGTTGAACACGTGAACATTTTTAAATATGAATATCCAAATCTTTTTCAGATAAAACTATCTATAAGGAAGCCGAAAAGCATTTAAGATTCAACAACAGGTAACCTTTGCATTATCTTACATTGAAGATGTTCATAGATTTTAGTAAGGTGAAATAACCGAAGTGATGTCAATTTACTGAAATCTGGGCCGTAACCTTTGATCCCACAAACTCTGGAACAACAATAACATCACCTAAAGGACATCTAGCTTGAAGCATCTGTGCATGAGGATACCTAGATTGACCTCTGCTCATAAGGAAGATCACCAGGAACCTAAACAAGAAATGCAATGATGTACAGTGGTCCTCAAATTAACCAAAAAATGAAATGGTTTTGTAAAGTCTGTGGTCCTTTCTCCACTGATATACATTACAGAACAGTTATTCCAGAAATAAGGAATATGTTAACCAGTGCTCAAGCTAAGCACTAGCATCAACTCATACCTGGCCTCCCAGTAATGCTCTTTTCTTGGTCATGCTGAGAATGCCTGTTGTTAAGAGATGCTGGATCCTTACTTAACCTGAAATCAAACTGAAATATAGAAAGCTGATTCAATAAAATGACAGACACATTTCTATCAAGTACTACAAAAGATAATTTTCTTGCATGTTTTAGAAACATTTCTGGGGCTTGTCAGATAACACTGCTTATTGTATCTGACATTTTGCAAGGGTAAAAATGGCATAAATGCTCATTAAAGATTGAACTGCACACCTTGGCAGTATCAGAACCTTGTATTACTCTTTTATATTAGTCCCCTCAACCATGACTTTTTATATATAATGCATGATAGCTGACTGGGAGCTATTCAAGATAACTAGTATATAGCTGTAGAAGAAACAGGACAGTAATCAGTAGTGCCTCTTCACAACTTCATGAACTTTGTATATGCGGCTGACCTTATTGGATGAGGTTGCAACAAATGAGGAAACACATTAAAGGAGAACTATGACATGAGTGATTTCCACTCACCTCATAGTTCTAAGCCGACCTGTGACAATGAGACTGCCACAGGTCGGCTCAGTAGATCGGGAGGTGAGAGAACACATACCGGGTTCCCTCACCTCTCGATTCTGTCACGGCTCTCTGCCGTGACAGGGGGAGGGGCTGGATTCCCCTCTCCCCGCTCCGATCTGCCAGCGCTGACTGGCGGAACGGACGGGGGAGGGGGCGGGTACAGCTGGCTCTGCCTCTAGATAGGCAGAGCCAGCTGTCACTCACGCAGCTGGGCGGATCCCGTCATCTAAGTCGGGATCCGCTCCAGGTGCGGCGTCTCAGTATACCGCGAGCTATAGCTCGCGGTATACTGAGCTTAGGGTAACGGGAGGACGCTAGTTTGTGTCCTCCCGTTACCCCAAGGAGAACTATGGGGAAAAACACCGACCCCATAGTTCTCCTTTAAAAACGAAGGATCAAATCTATCTAAAATTGACTTTTTTTTTTAGAGGTAGTATCATCTACAGACGTCTGAATATATGTTATCCGTATAACCTCAAACCTCAAACGACACACATGGAATTCATTATGTGTTGCTATTATTACCTGTTTACTTTTATCTGTAACAGGGGTAGTCTGCAATACCAGATGAAGACCGCAGTTGTTCACCTGAAGAAAGAAAAGATTCAGTTAGTGATGCTATTAGAGCTCCATATTATATAATTTAATAGGTGGTTAAATATATGATTAATGATTCTATACAACATGCATTTAAAGACCAACTAAAACTCTACTTTAAATTGAATGTAAACACTAACAATTAACTTCTCTGATTTGTTCCCCCTTGGTCTTTCTCCCACTTACAACCAATCTAGGTAGGTGCCCCTCCCTGTGATTACAAATGCAAGGAACCCAATCTTTACTGACCATTTGTCCGCTGGCCACCCATGCAAGAGGGAACGCCTCCACTGGCCACCCATGCTAAAGGGAACGCCTCCACTGGCCACCCATGCAAGAGGGATCGCCTCCACTGGCCGCCCATGCAAGAGGGAACGTCTCCACTGGCCGCCCATGCAAGAGGGAACGTCTCCACTGGCCGCCCATGCAAGAGGGAACGTCTCCACTGGCCGCCCATGCAAGAGGGAACGTCTCCACTGGCCGCCCATGCAAGAGGGAACGTCTCCACTGGCCGCCCATGCAAGAGGGAACGTCTCCACTGACCGCCCATGCAAGAGGGAACGTCTCCACTGGCCACCCATGCAAGAGGGAACGTCTCCACTGGCCACCCATGCAAGAGGGAACGTCTCCACTGGCCACCCATGCAAGAGGGAACGTCTCCACTGGCCACCCATGCAAGAGGGAACGTCTCCACTGGCCACCCATGCAAGAGGGAACGTCTCCACTGGCCACCCATGCAAGAGGGAACGTCTCCACTGGCCACCCATGCAAGAGGGAACGTCTCCACTGGCCACCCATGCAAGAGGGAACGTCTCCACTGGCCACCCATGCAAGAGGGAACGTCTCCACTGGCCACCCATGCAAGAGGGAACTTCTCCATTGACCGCCCATGCAACAGGGAACTTCACCACTGACTCCTCATGCAAGAGAAAGTATGTTTGGGAGAGTGCAAGATCAGGAATTTGGTAGATATTTAAATCTGTTGATATTTTAGTTAAGAAAATTATCTATAGTGTATCTACGCTTGAGCTGCGAGCTTTGCACATCTTGCTTGCCACATTTGGGATGCCACAATACAAGTCATTACAAGTCAGAAGAAGATGGAAGCTGGAAGCGTTGGCAACAGAAGCAAGTGCTGACATTGCAGCACTGGAGGAAGTAAGTTTGTCAAAAAGTACTCTGCATTAGACATGGGCTGCCGAACATTGCCTGTTCGAGCGTTCGCCGAACTTTTTGGGACGTTCGCGGTCTGTTCGACCACGCAGTGTTGCACAAGGCAAAGCGCCCTCTGAAGCTCTAATTGGTCAAAGGCTTCCACCTGACCACGGGTCAGGTGCAAGACTTTGCCAAATCAGAGCTCAGTATTGAGTTAGAGCCACGATTGGGCAAAGTCGTGATGACTTTGCCCAATCATGTCCCGCCTGTCAGATGCCGGCAAACTACACAACTGGGCGGAGCTAGCTGTCACCGCTAGCTCTGCCCAATTGTGTATGTTTTGCCGGCATCTGTCAAAATGCCATTATGCAGCGGGAGTCGGCGGGGAGAGGACGGGACGGCGGCCGGCAGTTTTTTTGTTTTGTTATTATTGCTATTTATTTTTTATTTCATCGTCGTTGGACAACGCTGGACGCGGTAATTGACCCTGGAGTACATCAGTGGATCCATTTTTGGGGGGGTGTTTTTTTTTTTTTTAAATAAAGGATTTTTGATTAAAGTCTGGTGTTTTTATTTAATCTATTTTTGAACACTTTAGTGAATGGGTAGGGGTAAAAGTACCCCTTATTTATTCACAAGGGGGAGGCGGCATTTGGGTGCCCCTTTAATAAAAGGGGTACCCCGATGCAAATAAGCCCCCTGCCCGCAGACCCACACAACCACCGGGTCAGGGTTGCGGGAACAAGGCCCTTGTCCCCATCGGCACGGGGACAAGGTGCTTTTCCAGGGGTTGACTCTGGAAAAGCACCCTCCCAGTGCCGAGGCATGTGGCCTGGTGTGGGGGGAGGAATATTAGTGGGGACCCCATGCCCCCCCCCCATTTTGGGGGGTGGGATTCCTCCTTAAAGTGACATTAAACCCTCAGATTGTTTAACATAAACCAATACTGTAATGTGTGCCTTACTGTAATCCATGGTTGTTTCCCTTCGCTGCTCTTCCTTTTAAATCCTCATGTCTTCTCATGCTTGGGGAGAACTTCCCTTTGCAGCTGAGTGCCTCAGGTTGTGAACCTGCACACAGACACCGTGTATCCATTCCTGAGACAAGGCAGTCTGCTGCAAAACAGAAGTTCTGCCCAGCATGAGAACAGATACAGATTTAAAAGGAAGATCAGCAAAGAGAAGGGAAACAACCATGGATTACAGTAAGGCACACATTACAGTATTGTTTTATGTTCAAAAATCTGAGGGTTTAATGTCACTTTAAAATTCCTACCAGACCTTAAGGGTCTGGTATGACTTTTAGTGGGAACCCTACGCTTTAAAAAAAAAAAAGAAATGGTCCCCCCTAACATTCCTACCAAACCTAAATGGTCTGGTATTGTTTGGGAGGGGAAACTGCACACTTTAAGAGTAAAAGAAAAAAAAAATCATTTTTTTTTTCCTTTAGAAATTTCAGTTTTGCTGCAGCAGGTTCTATACATCGTACAGATCCACTAATTTACAGGCAGTTTATGGGGACCCCCCAGGGACAATATTTGAAGGAATTTTTATTCTTACTCTTTAATAGATGTTAAATTCACTGCTCCTTTAAAATAACACATTTTTTTTTTTTTTTTCATTGATTCATGTCCCCCAGGGCAGTACCCGGACCTCCATACACCTTTTACGGATAATAACTTGCATATAAGACCTCTTAAAGGGTACATTCGTTTCCAAAAGTTCGACCCACATTGACTTGCATTAGGTTCGTATTCAAACTTTTCGGGCGTTCGAATACAAACTGAAGACGGGGGTGTTCGGCCCATCACTACTCTGCATACTAGATCATTATGCCAAAAGGCTCCTGGAGACCTAAAAGGTTTATCTTTTTCTGTGGCAGTTTAAAGTAGCACTACACTGACCACCAATGTTAAAGGATCACTTTTCCATTGACCACTAATGGAAGGGAGCACTACATTGACCAACATTGTTAAAGGTAAACTTCTCCACTGGCCACCAATGTAAGGAAGCACTACACTGGCTGCCAATGTTAAGGGTGCACTACACTGCCAACCAATGTTAAAAGGACACTTGTCCACTGATAACCAATGTAAGCAATACAATGACCACCAGTGTTAAAGGGATACTTCTCCACTGACTACCAATGTTAAAGGGGCACTTCTCCACTAATCATCAATTTAGGGTAGCACCACACTGCCGCCATTGTTAAAGGAATACTGCTCCACTTACCACCAATTTAAGAGTGAGAGACAAAGCAGATTTTATCTCAAAATTAGAGTGTATTATCTGAGAGACAATAGCCACAAACATTGTACAGTGGCTGGACAGTATGCAGGTTGCTTAAGCTGTAATTATACTGACTGCCAGGGTAGACCCAATAAGATCCTTAGGCGGCATCTCACTGGGTCACGTGGTCCCTTTCCTGCCAGAGCGTCCCGGGTTGCCAAGAGCTTTCAGCAACCTGGGATGCTCTGGCCAGTGTCACTGGTTGCTAGGAGGTGAGTAGGATGCTCTGGCTGTTGTCCCACTCAGCATGTGGCAACAGTGAACCGTGGGGGATACCGAAGGTAACACTACCTCCCATGCACCACAAACATAAACAGGGCCCCCCCTGGTCTCGTTGTGCATTGCCAGCAACCCCCTCCCTGGTCTTATTGTGCACTGCAAGCACCCCCTATCACCCACCCCTGCTGACTGCCATTGTTGAAGAAACACTTCTCCCCTGATCACTTTATGTAATAAAGCACTACAATGACCACCATTGTAGAGGGAGATTACAATTTTCCCAATCTGTCTTCTTTAATATTATGATTTATTTGATTTCATGATTATTACTGGAAAAAATGTTGATATCAGCAAGTGGCATTGAGATAGTCATTGATTGACTCCATGTATTCATTGTAGTATCCTTATATCTACAATGTACTGATCCTGCTATTGCACCATGGGCAGATCATTCATACACCTTGTTATAATGGAGAGATACAGCAGCAGCGTGTATTTAGATGAAATTATCATATTTGTAATGGAATGTAAACCACAACAACAGATACTAATAGATGTGGGTTCCTAGGATGGGATCAGGAATCCTGGTTGATCGATGATACACACACACTACTCACATTGGACACAAGCCTCCCTCGGTATTTGCCGGGCAGCATGTTTACATGCTGATGTGTGTTCGGGGTCACAGGAGGATATGGCAGCCGGTTGTCACTGCCCACCTCCTACACAATACGAAAATGGTGTCCTCCACATCGCTGTCACCATAGAAGCCGCCCGCCTCCGTCTCCAATACCGGGCCACGCCCCATCACGCCGCGTGCCGGTCTCCATGGTGACGGGCAGCTGACACTCTACCGGGATGCAAGGAAGGAAGATGCTCCAGAAGACCAGAACGCCATTTCCGGTTTGGTTTGTTATGCTTTGTGGAATGGAATGGAGTCCTCACAATTTATAGCGCACAGCCTCCACCTGACGGTTCACAAAGCAGATTTGGTTGTTGTGAGTTGACACGCTGCTCATAAACGTGCAGACTAGGCTGTCTGCTAAAGACACACATTCAGTGCTAGATAAGTCTGATCTTCATCCGATGAACTGGGGTGATCGATATAAGCATGCCCCCCCCAACTTTATGAGATGAGAAAAGGGGGCATTTTTCAGCACTATGTATTCAGGCAATGGAAACACTCCTGATACACCAGCTCTGTTGTTGTAAGGGTTAGTTCACACTATATGTAGTTGTGATGCAGTCAAAATACATCCCAATGCTATCCTATGGGCTTTCTTGTGCTTAATTCACACCATTGCAGTCAGAAAAAGTACTGCTTGTCCTATTTTACCTGCATCTAAACGCAATGGAACGCATACAAAAAAAAGCAATTGATTGTGGCATCATGCGGGGGGGAAAACGCATCAAAACAGATTGCAATGCAACTGCGCAGACGCACGCAGTTGTGATGCAGTTTTTTGGTGTGAACTAACCCTAAAGAAGAACTCCTATCAGAGGAAAACAGCTCTCGCAGTGTGGCAAGCCCTGAACTGCAAGGGCCTGTTCACACCATATGCAGTTGTGATGCAGTCCGTTTATTATAACTGCTGCAGTCAAAATACATCCCAATGCTTTCCTATGGGCTTTCTTGTGCCCAATTCACACCCTTGCAGTCAGAAAAAGTACTGCTTGTCCTATTTTACCTGCATCTAACTGCACTAAACACATCAAAACGGAACGCATACAAAAAAAATACAGAATTGATTGTGGTATTATCCAGGGACATGCATGGGAAAAAAAAGGATCGCAATGGAACTGCACAGACGCACGCAGTTGTGATGCAGTTTCTGGTGTGAACTAACCCCAAGGGTTAAGTGCTCATTTTCATCTAAGGCCTAAAATAACAAAGATGCACTTACCCAATCCTCGGCCCCGCCTGGCTGTTAGCCCGGGCCCTGCAGCCTCTCTGCCCATGTAATGTCCTTTGTCATCCTCACATCCAATACACTGTATTGGACGTGATGATTCACAGGACCTCAGACTGCCAGAGGGGGAGAGAGGCTGCAGGGACCAGTCTAACAGACAGGACCCAGGTTTGGTAAGTGTATCTTTGTTGTTTTAGACCCTAGATGAAAATGAGCACTTAACCCTTGCAGGGTTTGAAGTTTTTCTGCCCGGAGTTCTTCTTTAAGTATATGCCAAGAAGAGTTAAACAGAATAGTTTTTTTCTTTTTAATTCCCCTTAACCTTTTCTTTGTATTGGCTTTTCCAAACAGGAAACAAGATAAGTAAGAGACAGGATGAAGGTTTTAGTGCAGAATAACACCTCTGGTGGTTACATTGAACCTTTTCAGAGAGATCTGGACATCAGACCAAAAAGAGGGACAACTGAGGAGGAAAGTAGGACAGAGGGATTTGGTTCCTAATGAGGGACAGTTCTCCAAATCAGGGACTGCTGTGAGGTATGTACAAAGGTGCCCATACACTGCACGATTCTCGTACGAGAATCGCGGGAAATCCCACGATTGTGCGAGAATCGTGCAATGTATGGAAGGCGTGCGACCGTTTCTACTGTACGGTCGCACATCTTCCGTCGAACTAGCAGGCTGGAAAACCCCCCGGGAATCATCCGATTCCCAGCGGGTTAGTGGCCTGCTTGTTCGACAACTGCCGAACAGGCCGATGTGTGCACGCGCACACTGCCCGTTTGCAGTCATTGGAAGCCCGCCCTCAGGGTGGTGGGCTTGCGATGATTGCAAGTACGATATGCCTGTCCAAGATGGGCAAATCGTACGTTTTTTTAAGTACTTTACAACCCTCGCAAGACAAAAGTCTTGCGAGGGTTGTAAAGTGTATGGGCACCTTAAGAGCCTGTGTGTCCATGGCACCAGTCTGAGATGCCTCTGAGATCATTCAGAATTCATTGACAGGTGCATGTGACCTGTAGTTGACTTCTTCCTGGTCTGATGACTTAATAGGAGTGCTATCCAAAACTCACTTGAAGCAAACAAAAGCCCGTCAACACGGCCCCACATAGAGCGGAGAAATGAAAATGTTGCTCAGTCACATACAGCTAGTAGTAGTTAAGCTAAACGTACTGAGCTGAGTCATGCTGCAATTTGCGCTGTGGGTGGTCCTGTTGGCACGCCTCTGTTTGCCAAAAGGTGATTTTTCAATAGACATTTGTTGAATGAGCCGGGCAGAGAACTGACAGCTACACAGTGACTGCAGCCATTTAGCCAAATATTTGAGTATTCTGACAGCTTCAGGAGCCGACTGTCAGAATATAATAGCCCGGCAGGGGATAATCGTCCATCCACTCTGTTTTCCATGGGTAATCGACTGGACTTGTTTCGGGGCTTATGAAAGCCACTTCGTCAGTGCAGAACTAAGGATGTAAAGATGTGGCTACCAAACGTCTTCAACAAAAAAAAGGCTATTTCGTTTTCTCTGCCATATCTGATTTGTTTTTTCAAGCTAAAGCCCTCAAGTTCATTTTGCTTGGCCAGTGGTAAAACACTTTCACAGTATAGATTGTGATCTTTTTTCGCAGGATTCGTCACTCCAGAGAGCACGTCTCCCATGGAAACCCATTCAATGAAGCTCTCCACACACTGTTGTTGTGCCAATCTGAAGGCCACACGAAGTTTGGAGGTCTAGCTGTGGAATCTGCAGGCAGTTGGCGACTTCTGCCCACTGTGCGCTTCAGCATGCGCTGACCCCGCTCTGTCATTTTACGTAGCCCACCACTTCGTGACTGAGTTGCTCTTGTTCCCAGTTGCTTCCACTTTGTTATAATACCACTTAAGCTGCCCATACACCTTACAACCATCTCACGACTTTCGTTGTGCGAATGGTTGTAAGGTGATAAAATTTCGTACGACCTGCCCATCTTGGACAGGCAGATCGTACTTCCGATCATCGCAAGCCCTCCCCGCTGAGGGGAGGGCATACAGATGATTGCAATGGTAAGCGGGCAGTGTGCGCTTGCGCACCACAGCCCATGCGGCTTTCGTCTTGCGATCGCGCTACCATGCTCGGAAGACGAAAGTCTTGCGACCTTACAGTATATGTGGTCGCACGCTGCCCATACACCGTACGATCGCGGGATCACACGCGATTATCGGACCATAATCATCAGGTGTATGGGCAGCTTTACAGTTGACCGCGGAATATTTAGTAGCAAGGCAATTTCACGGAACACCCGATTCCAATTATTTGGAGGGGCGTCCCAATACTTTTTTTTGTATTATATACACTCATCTCAGTTACACTGTATTTCTTTCTTGTTGAAGTGTATGTAAACCCTAGAGCAATGAAAATATAATGTTGTTGTATACGTCTCACTGTTGTTGGTTTCTTGTGTTCTTTGCATCACCAGCCTTTCTTTCCATTGAAAAAAAAGCATTTATTTAAAAAAAGTCTGTGTACCTGGTGACAACACTTCAGTGTGTGATCTCCCTTTAGGGCAGGGGTAGCCAAACTCCGGCCCTCCAGCTGTGGTGAAACTACAAATCCCATGATGCATCTCTCTGCGGGAGTCATGTCTGTGGCTGTGAGAATCTTGCAATGTCTCATGGGATTTGTAGTTCCACCACAACTGGAGGGCCGGAGTTTGGCTACCCCTTCTTTAGGGGCAGCGTTTTCCCTTTCATAGCTTTCAATGGCTTCAGCTATTCTGTATTGCCTTCTTACTGGATTGGCAGAGACTCCTGCATTTGGGATTTTGCATTCCATCATTATTGTCACATAGGAGATCTGCAGAATCCTTTGTGCTCTGCACAGTGCAAACCTCTAAAATAGTTTTTTTTTTTTTAAAGTCCCGTTTTAGCCAAAGATTTTAAAAGCAATTATATCAATGCTTCTAGAAACATGGTGCCCTATGCAGTATATAGAGGCTTTTGACATGAGGCTTTAATATTCCTTAAAGTGGACCTTTACCCCCTTTTACTAAAACTCACATTAGCTTGCAGCTCTGCATTCTGATATGAAATCATCCTGCAGTAATTATTTAAACAAACATTTTTTTTGCTTTTACATACAATTCACTTCCTGGTTGAGTGAGACACTGGTGATTTAGCCCTGGCCTCACAGATGCATCCTGGAAAGGTTACATCATCAGTGCCGTCCTGGGAAATCTCATCTATAAACTGCAAAATCTCTCAAGATCTCAGGGCAAGGCATTTTTTCCCCTGAGGTGATGTGCACTGTTGCATGATCCAGGAGACAGACCCAGAGTTCCAGGAAGTAAAGGGAGATGGATTCATCTGCTCTTAACAAAAATGGCCACTATGAAAAGAAATGGGAGGATAAGAAAAATAAGGTATGCAAAGAATGAAAAGCCTGCAATTATCTGTAAGTATCTTTGTAGAGTGCTATTACTGAACATCTCTTAAGGTGCCTTTGATGTAAATTTTAAGAAAAGGATGAAGATGCTATTTTAAATAATTGCAGGTGATTCGAAATGAAATTCACCCTCCAGAACTGATTTCTTAGTAAATCCACTTGTTGCAATAGGTGCAAGAGATTGAAAAGCCAGTCACAATCCTTGCTAATAACACTTCCAAAGTTAAGGTCCCTTTAACCTCCCTGGCGGTATTCCCGAGTGTAGCTCGGGGCTACTTTTCCATACCATAAGCAGTAACCCCGAGCTACACTCGGGAATGCCGCATAGCATTTACTTACCTTGTCCCCCGAGCCACGCTGTGTTCTCCGGCCGATGCCGACATCCGTCTTCCGGGTTCTGTCCCTTGCGAGCGTATGCGTCGCAGGGGGCGGAACCGGCGGGATATTCAAAGAAATAGAAAGAAATTCCCCAAAAAAAAAACCGAAAAATGACATGAA